GACCAGCACTCCAAGGTCCTTTTCCGCCGGGCAGCTCTCCAGCCACTCCTCCCCAAGCCTGGAGCGTTGCGTGGGGTTATTGTGACCCAAGTAATGCTTACCAGGAAAAAAGAAAAAAACCAACCAAACCAAACAACCAAATGCTGAAGTTACAAGAAATAAGGAAACTTCCCATTTCAGAGTGAAAGCTGGCCTCTAACTCAAGAGTTTTAGAAAATCATTCCCTAAGGGTGGGCTAACCTATAATTGTCTTCTGCAGGATCCTGCAATTTTCTTCCGAACAGCTGGTGTGGGTTGCTGGCAGCATCACAAACAGAACTAGGGGTCTTCCTGGGAGACTGAGTAGCACTGGTTTACAGACCTGAGATGATTCTCCAAATCCTGATGTCTCCATTTGCTCTGACATACCAATTTCCAGAATTAAATAGTCTCTGTACAAGGCATTGATGCGGCCATTCTCAAAAAAGATGGACAACTACCATTTTGCAGTCACTCTTCTGCTTACTACCCTGCAAATTAAGTTACACTTCAGAGCAGTAACTTTCTACTGAGTTTATGACTAGCTAACTACACTCCTGGATCTCTGACGCATTTTGGAAGAGCAGAGTTCTTCCCCTAGTTCTCTAGTTGCCTCCTGCAATGGATACCCCTCCTCCTCAAAGGTATCACTCTCAAGGATGGAAATCATACTCGGCTTCCTCTGCCCTGCTGCCCCCTTGCCCTGGAAGCGTGCCTCCCTGCCTCTCCCCGCACTGCCTGTCCTGGGGGCAATCTCACCTGCTGATTACTAGGAGAATAGGGGGGTTCACGCCTGGAATTTCCTGTCCCAGACTCGCCCGCAGGAGCCTGAAAGAGAGAAGACAAAGCTAGACAGTTACTGTACAGCAGTAACTTCCATGCCTCTCCCTTAGCAGCGAGACCAGGAGGCAAGGGAGACCACCGACATCCAGCCCGAGGCCAGCTACGGGCCCCCTCACTGCAAGAGAGCAGAGTTAGCACTGGGGCCAACAGCAGCTGTCACACGGCAGAAACTTGCAAAAAGCGCTAAAACCAGCAAGGGAATGACATTAAACACGGGAACTGAGATCATATCCAAACACCCCGCACGGCCAACTGAACCAGGCTAAAGCCTTCTGCCCTGGGAATCCTCTCCTCCCAGCTTCTCTTTAGCCCTCAACAGACGGGGCCACAGTCTAGGCAACCCTCCTGTCGCACAGACACTGAGCAAAAACAGGCACTCCAAAAGGAAAAGAGACAAGATTCATCCCCAGGCACATCCACTGCTGCTGGCCTACTAGCAAGACCTTTACGAGTAGCCCAGAGCACGGGAAATACAGGGCTCTCGCCCCTTCCACAGGAACCTACCATCGCCACGGCTCCGGCTGAGCCAGCCTACAGCCAGCCCCAGCAGCTACAACAGAATCACAGAATGGTAGGGATTGGAAGGGACCTCTGTGGGTCATCTAGTCCAACCTCCCTGCCCAAGCAGGGTCACCTACAGCAGGCTGCACAGGACCTTGTCCAGGCGGGTTTTGAGTATCTCCAGCTACAACGAGAGAGCAGAGTCCAAATAATTACCGGCAGTCTCTCCACAGGATTAAGGAGCAGGATTTAAAAAGTATTTTAGATGCCTAAAGATGGAAGCAGGTCATTTGGGACTTTAGAGAACTGTTTAAGCAAATCTAGTGTTCCACAATCATTAACACCATACCCGTGCACTAGTGAATCACGTTAATTTGACAAGTCAGCCTCGGGCAATGGTATTTCTACTGACCAAGCCAGGCGATCTGAAGTTTATACTGGCGCACAGAAAAGAAATAATCCTTGTTAGCACTCAAATGACAAAGAATGCGGCAGCATCAACCGATCCACTTCCATGCCTCCACTGCAAAGAGTGTTCTTGCTCACCCTGCTTCTGGCTACTGCTATCCAAGTCTTCCTGCACACCTGCACATGCAGCTTGCCAGTCCCCACGGAAGGAGCTGTTCTACAACCCTGTTTCTCAGGGACTTCAGCTCCCTAACCCAGTGGGCATGTGACTGCTCCAGTTCTGGTGTCAGCACGCAGGAGAACAGGCAGACAGGGAGAAACGATCCCTTTTGACAGCAACATGGAATTAGATTAGCTCCAGCTAACTGTGACACCCATCTCCAGACTGATGGTAGCTGATCTGGCATAAAGTCTACCTTCAGAAAGGGTCAGTGCTTTGCGACTGCTGCTTTTCTGATCTTTTAAGCTCTAAAGCTGGATGTCTATAATGTCCAAACCACAGCCTTTGACTTTTAACATCCCGAGAGGTTACAGAGATTCAACTACACGCCTTGCTCTGTGCTTATCTGCCTCCACATCAGTGAAAAACAAATCCTCACCAAGGAACTCGGCTAAAAACATCTAAGAGAACTACAGCTGGGTGTTGTTTTGTTTGTTTCTTCTTCCCTGTGTGTAGGCTGTTTGTTTGCGGTTGTTTTGTTTCTCTTAGTTTTCAGACCTCCCAAAAGGCTAAGAAGGGAAGAAGGGGAGAGTGGTGTGGTGCTAATCCGGAACGTAGTATCTTTGGGTCTAGTCCTTGCTCTGCCACACGTTTCCTGTGCAACAGTGAGAAAGTAAAATACAAGCAAGATTTCCCAGAGCGGAAAGCAAAGTTCTCCCCTGAAATCTGAAAGCCTAGTTACGCTGAAACGAGTCACTTCAAGGAACAGCATGCTCCTGGGCTGCAGATTAACCGTGTCAGCTGCGCTGCCTCTTAGTTTTCAGAGGTCTGAGAACAGCTGTGTTTGTTCAGGCCCAGACACCTAAGCGTGACACCACCATCATTCTCCTACAACCCTGCCAACTCCCCGCTCACAGCAGACGGGCAACACCGCTGCTCCTCGCCTCTTGCCCACCCAGCTGGGGAAGCTGCCTCCCCTCAAAGAGGGGCTCAGCAGCATTCATGCTTGGCAATACCTGGGGTACATTAGTGGCTGGGGGACAAGCGCGGGGGTTTAGTGGAACGCAGGCGGCCCTCACCGCGTGAGGCCACGCCACACACAGCATGCCGTGGGACCGCTTGCCTTGGAGTAGAGGTTGGTCTTCAGCACTCCCTCCCTGCCATAGCCCAGCGGTGGGCCCCCCAGGCAAGCCTTGCCTGCTGCTTTCCCCCTGCGGTTCGCCACCACAAAGGGGTTCTCGCTGAAGAGGATCGGCTGAGAGTCGACCATGCACTCTTGCTCTGGCGCCTTTGGCATCTGGTCCTGGGACAAGGGGCAACCCGTGGGATCCTGCTCGTCTAGCTGGGGCTTTCCGGCCCCTCTCGTGCACTTGTCGGGTGATGCAGGGTCCTGAGGAAGGCCAGCCATGCTTCTGATGATCAGGCCTGCAGCTGCTTCTGGGTATGAATCCCGGCTGTCCTGCGCCACTGGCAGGGACAGCGTAGCGCAGTCGCCCTCCATTCTGGAGCTGGCCTTATTATACTGAACAAGCTGAGAGGAAAACAAAAGGATCAGAAAGAAGCAAGGAGAACAGAGTAAAGGAAAGGAGGGAGAAAATACAGAGCAGCTGCTGATGCTGAAGGACAGGGGAGAGAAGAATTCCAGTACTAATGCCCACACGACCATTCCTTCCCTCTCTCCTACTCGACCACCGATCCCGTGATCCCGAATGCCACTTCCAAGAGAAGGCCTTGCCGTCAGCATGCAGTACACTCACCAACTAGCTGACAGGCACGAGCACACTCCCTGCACTTCTCCAGCTCTCATGCACATTCCAGCTTGCATTTCAGCAGCTCACCACTAACTCTGCTGCTCTCTGGCAAAACCGACTGCCAACACCTGCAAAAGCACGCATCGTCCCCAGTCTCGCTGCTGCATCCTCCATTCAATTCCACCATCACGTGGCCAACCGTCAACCGTCTCACCCCAGCACTCTTTCAGGTAGCTCCAGCACTGTCACACAGAATAACACCTCTCACCTCGCTCCAACGCATTTCCATACTGTTACACAGTCATCACCATATCATCTACCCCATGCATTTCCATCACACCTGCATGGGCAAACGTGCTTTTATGGCCCCACTTCATCGAAACACACACCAACAAGTAACCGAGAGCTACGTAACAGTTAACAGAGCATAGATCCCTTCGAGCACTCTTACTGAAGGCAGGGCTGAAACAGAGCTCCAGTTCTGCCTAGGCTCAACCATACCCATCCGAGATGAAGCACTGACCTTTCCTCTCGTAACACTGTAAAAGACAGTTTGTTACCCCAGCCAAAGCCTTCTTCAGGGAACCAGAGATAATCAGAGAGCAATGATCAAATCTCCTTCTATCCAAGTGCCTGCCGGGGAGCAGAAAGACCTCTTCTTCTCAGAGCACATTCTCCAACTCCCGTGTCACGGCAGCATTCACAAAAATAGCTCTCAAGGGCTGGGTGGGCTGGTGACTACAATGGCAGCTGAGAGGCTCAGGAATTTCTGAGGCCCTCCCCTAACCCCTCACCCCAACCCAACCTAAAGCAGTGGTTGGCAAAGCCCTGGCTCATATCATATTTCTTCAGACAGTGAAGCCCGTGCTACCCTTACAAAATTTGCTATTGTAGTTATGTGACTTTCCACTGTAAAAAAACCCTACCAAAAAAACCCAAACAACTGTCCCCCAAATTCCAACCTTATTTTCCCAGAGTGCCATAAACTACTCTAGCAAGAGCTGCAGTGCACCTAAAGTTATGCCAGGCATAAAGTGCTGTCAGGAACATTATTTGGTCATTGGGGATGCTGCAATGAAAGCACTGCCAGAAATCCACCACCGCAAAGTGGGTTTGTCGGTCCTACAGCCAAGCGCCAACGACGCCACTGCTGCTTTCCCCTGCCAAGCAGGAGAGCACAAACACTGACCAGCCCAGGTTCCAGGTGAATCCCACCACCAAGGCCTACTTTGCTTCACATAAAGGGAAAAAGCAAACAACACTTCTAGGGCACTGTGGAGATGGGCATCTCACCAAGACCGCATGAAGTCTGACAGTCCACAGGGAGCTTCAGTCCCTGTTTTGTTCACGGACATGAGTGGAACTGAGCTTCATCTACCCCTTGCTTTCATCTCCAGCGCTTCTGCTGCAGCAGCATATTGCAGTGCAGGATGCCTCGCTCCCTCTGCTTCAACAGTGGGCTATTTTTATCAGAGAAGCAACACTTTCTATCTTGGGTAAGCAGTTGGCAATGCAGTGTGCTTTTCCCAGCCTTGCCTCTGTCACTCCCCAGTCCAGCAGACAGGACAATCATGTTTTATGCTGCATCCTCCAAGGCAAATACGGAAGAAATGCGCCTGCAGTTCTGATCCATCACTTTGCCCCAGACACTGAAAGAAATCTTATTTTAAATCTAATGAAGAAGCACAGAGAAAAAAACAGAAAAAGAGGAATAGATTCAGCCTAGAAAGTGCAGGTGGTTAATTAACTAACCATGGTGACATGCTACTGAGAGATGTGAAGTCTTCTCCATTTCTTACAGTCCAGAAAGCAAGACTAGACTTTAAATGTTTTGCTGTGGCTAGATGCAGTCATTCACGGGTACGGTCTCCAAGCCTGTACTACGCAGAAGACAGAGACTCCAATAGCTGTGATGGCAGGATCCAGACATTGCTGTGCACTGGGTATTCTGCAGACATCAAGTTACCATGAAGCTGGCACAGCTGGAGGGCATCACTGAGATGAGCATTCTCATGCAGCTTTCAACTGGAATTTTGCAGTTGGGATTTTTAAACTACACAAACAAAACAGGCCTGCACCTCAGTAAGCCTTTGTTAAATCCTGCTCACAAAAGGACCAATACACAGCAATACAGATTAATCCAACATAGACACTCATCTGCCTCCTTTAGGGGCAATTCTTGGGGAACCCTCATGACAAATTTCACCCGCAATCTACAGCGGTCACAGCAGAGGTCTGCACCTCCTCCTGTTAAACAGCGTGAAGAGCAGCAGGGCCCGCAACTCTCCTGCTGAGCTATATGGCAACAACAGATATACAGACACTGCTTACAGGAGAATATACATGGTGAGAAAGTCAGTCTACAGACAGGAAGAAAGAGAAAAATACTATGGAAACTAGGCAATAGCATTAGTCATCTTAATCCAGTCAGACTGTCTGGAGATGGACAACCTGTTAACTGAGCCACGTGCTTTTCACGCCAGACACAGCCGTGTCTGAGTCTTCCAGGCAGTCACCAAATGGGCTCGGTGCAGCTCCTGAAGGCACGCCAGGACCTTGCTGTCCCTGAAGCCTGTACCTCCCTGTACTCATGATCTAGACAGACATCTTTCTTCAAACAGAGCAAAGACAGGGCTGGGCAAAGGACAGCTGGAAAAAGATAAACACAGGCACCGTTGGCCCTTCCCCTGAAACAGGACATTTATAGATGCCGCCCATAC